GCGCTATTAACAAAAAAGACCAAAAATTTTGAAAAAAAAACCCAATATTTTTCACTTTTGGTTATAAAAATATCCAGTAAACTCAAATTAAGTCATATATTTAGGCCAAAATGTATTTTGCTACATGTCTTTGATAAAAAAAATTCCAATACATGTATATTAACCACTTTCCGGCCGCTCTATAGCAGATATACTGCTACAGGGCGGCAGGGGTGCACAAAATCACGTGTATATAAGTGATTTTGCATTTCCGCGCCCTACCCGTGCCGCTTTTTGCAGCCTCGACTGTCAATCCCTGGGTGCCGGTCAGTGTTTACTCGGCGGCACCCGGTGACCAAAGAACATTACGGACGGACAGAGGGAGAGTACTGTATGTAAACAATACAGTTCTCTCCCCTGTCAGCTCCTGCACACTGCTTTGCATGTCTCTGCATAGCGCGAGCTATGGGAGCTTTGGGAAAAATACACTTTTTAGAATTTTAATGCACAAAAACACAATATATTGCCCAATTATTTGATAAAATATAAATGACGATGTTACGCTGAGTAAATAGATACCAAAAATGATATGCTTTAAAATTGTGCATGCCCGTGCAATGGCGACAAAGTACATACATTTTTAATATTGATAGGCAATGCTTTAAAAGCCTTTACAGGTCACCAATATTTCCCCAGAGGTCTAGTGCTATAATTACTGCCCTTGATCTGACGTTCGCTGTGCTGCCTCACATGCATGGTGCAATCTCTGTTTACACACCGATATAACACAAAAGGTGCAGCGCTTAAACTCAAATGATGTCAAAATATGTACTGGAAGAAAAAATATGAACATAAAACTATTGAGTGAATGATATCAAATACGTAAACAACAGTAATAAATAGGCATAAATAGGTGACTGGTAAGTGCCGGAATAAAGTGCCAAAGTCTATATAATGAATAGTGATCCTTCATGGTGATTAAATATTCGAATTATACACTCACCAGATGCATAATTCCAATATGCATTAAGAAGACTAATCACATCTCAAGGTCTCAAATGGAATGCTTCTAAGGACTTATCTAGCCTCTCTGGGCTTCCCTCTGGGCACTTCTGTCCATCTGGGGTTCCCTTTGGATCATCCGATAAAGCACCTCTCAGTTACCTTCCCTGGCAGCTCTGTGGGTGGTGGACTCAACACAAGTCCCAAGATAGGATGCCAAGATAGTGTAGTACCGTTTAAAAGGATGATTTATTGATCCAAAAAATAAGACATAATAAAACAAAACAACTGACCATGAGAAGTATAAAAGATGGCCACCGGCCCGCATGTTTACATATCGACACGGGACCAACGCTTGCATTCAACTTTGTGCATGAGCATGGGAAGGGGTGATTTTTTTTTCAATTTTGATTTCTTTTTTTATTTATACACTATCCCTTTCTTTTTTTTTTAATCCCTTTTATTTTTTATAACGGGGAATGTAAATATCCCCTTTGATAGCAATAGGCAGTGACAGGTATTCTTTTCTGAAAAATCTGGGGTCTCTAGATATCTCCTCTGCCCTTAAAAGCATCTAATCACACCAAGATCGGTGTAATCAAATGCTTTCCCTATTTAAAAATGGCGCTGTAAAAGCCCGGCAAAACAGAAGTGAGGAATTGCTTATAGCGTCTGGTCTCTTAGACCATAGGGATGATTGTAGCCATTATGGGCTCTGATCAGCTATATGGTCAGCCAGCGGAACTGTCAGCTGCATTCTCGGATTCCCCTGTGGGACAGGAGAGCCCAAAAAAAACCGAGAAAGGCGGCAGGAGGGGGGATGTCCTTTCCCACTGCTTTTAAAATGATTCAGCAGATATTTGGCCACTAAGATTGCTTTTACATGAAAGCCGACTGCCAGCTGAAAAAAACGATACCAGGATGATGCCTGTAGCTGCAGGTATCATCCCGGTATAACCACTCAAAGTCCAGACATATACCAGTACATTGCTGCTCCATGTTGGGCATATATGTAGCAGCAGAGAACACGGCATATGATGAATTGGCTCTGTGGACCAATATGACCCCATTTCAAACTTTTTTTAATGCCACATTGAGGGTTAGGCCAAAAAAAGTTTTAAATTCAGAAACAGTGATAGGTCTCCATGTGAATTGTCTGGCAAGAGCTGAATTTGGGTGGGCGGCAATGTATTGTTGTGCATTTAAATTGCCTTGGCCCACAATCAATTGATATAAAATCCTCCATGAAAAACAGCTGAGGGGCTAAACGCTAGTGCTGGCAATGAATAGTGCTGATCCTGCTAACACTGCATTTTTGGGAATGCTATACAAAGCAGGCCCTAGTATACAGTGCCTTGAAAAAGTATTCATACCCCTTGAAATTTTCCACATTTTGTCATGTTACAACCAAAAAAAGTGGATGTATTTTATTGGGATTTTATGTGATAGACCAACACAAAGTGGCACACAATTGTGAAGTGGAAGGGAAATGATAAATGGTTTTCAAAATTTTTTACAAATACATTTCTGAAAAGTGTGGTGTGCATTTGTATTCAGCCCCCTTTATTCTGATACCCCTAACTAAAATCTAGTGGAACTAATTGCCTTCAGAAGTCACCTAATTAGTAAATAGCATTCACCTGTGTGTAATTTAATCTCAGTATAAATACAGCTGTTCTGTGAAGCCCTCAGAGGTTTGTTAGAGAACATTAGTGAACAAACAGCATCATGAAGGCCAAAGAACACACCAGCCTGTTCAAGGACAAAGTTGTGCAGAAGTTCAAAGCAGGGTTAAGTTATAAAAAAAATGGAGCACTGTTCAAGCCATCATCCAAAAAAGGAAACTTTTGCACAACTGCAAACCTACCAAGACATGGCCGTCCACCTAAACTAACAGGTCGGGCAAGGAGAGCATTAATCAGAGAAGCAGCCAAGAGCAGCCAAGAGGCCCATGGGAATTCTTGTGGAGATGCAGAGATCCATAGTTTAGGTGGGAGAGTCTGTCCACGGGACAACTATTAGTCATGCACTCCACAAATCTGTCCTTTATGGAAAAGTGGCACGAAGAAAGCCATTGTTGGAAGAAAGCCATAAGAAGTCCCGTTTCCAGTTTATGGGAAGCCATGTGGGGGATACAGCAAACACATGGAAGAAGGTGCTCTGGTTGGATGAGATCAAAATTGAACTTTTTAGCCTAAAAGCAAAATGCTATGTGTGGCAGAAAACTAACACTGCACATCACCCTGAACACACCATCCCCACCTTGAGACATGGTGGTGGCAGCATCGTGTTGTGGGGATGCTTTTCTTCAGCAGAGACAGGGAAGCTGGTCAGAGATGATGGAAAGATGGATGGAGCCAAATACAGGGCAATATTGGAAGAAAACTTGTTAGAGTCTGCAAAAGACTTGAGACTGGGGCGGGGGTTCACCTTCTAGTAGGACAATGACCCTAAACATACAGTCAGAGCTAAAATGGAATGGCTTAGATCAAAGCATATTTATGTGTTAGAATGGCCTAGTCAAAGTCCAGACCTAAATCCAATTGAGAATCTGTGGCAAGACTTGAAAATTGCTGTTCACAGACGCTCTCCATCCAATCTGACAGAGCTTGAGCTATTTTGCAATGAATGGGCAAAGGTGGTCATACAAAATATTGACTCAGAGGGGCTGAATACTAACAGGTGTCTTTCTATCAGGTAAAAAGCTGAGATTAGAAGCAGTCTCTTCAAGTGCTGCTAATCTCATTTTGTTACCTGTATAAAAGACACCTGTCCACAGGAGCAATTAAACAATCAGATTCCAAACTCTCCAATATGTCAAAGACCAAAGAGCTGTCCAAGGATGTCAGGGACAAGACTGTAGTCCTACACAAGGCTGGACTGGGCTACAAAACTATCTCCATGCAGCTTGGTGAGAAGGTGACAACAGTTGGTGCAATCATTCACAAATGGAAGAAACACAAAACAACTGTCAGTCTACCTAGGTCTGGTGCACCATGCAAGATCTCACCTCAAGGAGTGTCAATGATCATGAGAACAGTGAGGAATCATCCCAGAACTACACGTGAGGACCACAGTCACCAAGAAAACAATTGGTAACACACTACACCGAGAAGGATTGAAATCCTGCAGTGCCCGTCTGAAGTTTGCCACTGAACATCTGAATGATGCAGAGGAGGACTGGTTGAAAGTGTTGTGGTCAGATGAGACCAAAATCAAGCTCTTTGGCAGCAACTCAACTTGCCGTGTTTTGAGGAGGAGGAATACTGCCTATGGCCCCAAGAACACCATCCCAACTGTCAAACAAGGTGGTGGAAACATTCTGCTTTGGGGGTGTGTGTTCTACTAAGGGGTCAGGACAACTGCACCACATCAAAGGGACGATGGACGCGGCAATATACCATCTTGGGTGAGAACCTTCTTCCTTCAGCCAGGGCATTGAAAATGGATCATGGATGGGTGTTCCAGCATGACAATGACCCAAAACACATGGCCAAGGCAACAAAGGAGTGGCTCAGGAAGATGCACATTAAGGTCCTAGACTGGCCTAGCCAGTCTCCAGACCTTAATCCAATTGAAAATCTGTGGAGGGAGCTGAAAGTTCGAGTTGCCAAATGTCAGCCACAAAACCTTAATGACTTTTTAGACTGATAATTTCTTTGTGTGTTTGGCAAACATTCAAAATCAGCAGGGGATCAAATGCTTATTTCCTTCACTGTGTGTGTGTGTATATATATATATATATATATATATATATAAAAAAATTTTTTTGTACATTCACATCAGCCCCTAACCCTCAAGGAGCGTACAATCTAAGGTCCCTAATTCACATTCATACACATACTAGGGCCAATTTAGACAGGAGCCAATTAACCTATCAGCATGTCTTTGGAATGCTGGAGGAAACTGGAGTACCTGGAGGAAACTCACACAGGCACAGGGAGAACATGCAAACTGCAGGCAGGTGGTGCGGTGGTTGCGATTCAAACATGACTGATTCTGTATAAATGCCATGTTATACCATATTTTTTGGTCAATAAGACGCACCTGACTATAAGACGCACCTACATTTTAGAGGAGGAAAACAAGAAAAAAAAATATTCTGAGCCAATGGACTGCAGAAATAGTACAGGGAATGACCAGAGACTGCAGACATAGTACAGGAGATGACTAGAGACTGCAGACATAGTACAGGAGATGACTAGAGACTGCAGACATAGTACAGGAGATGACCAGAGACTGCGGACATAGTACAGGAGATGACCAGAGACTGCGGACATAGTACAGGAGATGACCAGAGACTGCGGACATAGTACAGGAGATGACTAGAGACTGCGGACATAATACAGGAGATGACCAGAGACTGCGGACATAGTACAGGAGATGACCAGAGACTGCGGATACGGTACAGGAGATGACCAGAGACTGCAGACCTTTGGGGAGCGGGTACCCAAATTTGACAGGTACCCGCTCCCACTTCCGTGGAGTTGTCCTCAACGTAGTCTTGTGAGAGGTCCCAGAAGACTAGGGGCCATTCACAAAGCACAGTGCTTCTCTCACATGCACAGTGGGTGCCCACTCTGAAGATACCAGCGCCAGGGAGAGAAGACAGCTGGTGAAAGCAGGACACTGCTGGACTGAGGAATAGGTAGGACCGAGGAGCAGGTTCTTCTGCACAGTAGAGCCGAGCGGCCGGCCTGGTATTCTAAGACGGCGGCGGTGACGGGGGGAATACCAAGCTGGCCGGTCCATATTCACTCCATAAGACGCACAGACATTTCCCCCCCATTTTTTGGAGGGAAAAAAGTGCGTCTTAAGGAGCAAAAAATACGGTGTATCACTATGATCTTTATTATTTAAATTGTATAATATTTTTAAAATATGGTAAACATGAGACCGTTTTCTTTGCCCTTTATAAAGAGAACTTGGTGATATTTTTCCAACCTCAAACTGTGTACTGTAATAGAGTTCATGTGTAAATGAAAACAGACTGTCAGTTTATTCAACACTAATCAGCTTAAACATGCATTATTGCTGTTTATGCAAAACAATTACCTATGCTTTCCCAGGTAAAACAGTATGTTGTAATAGCTGAATATGTTGTACATTTAGTATGAACAATATCCCTAGAAGATTGTAGTTAGTTCAGCTGAGAAAGATATTACTTACTTATTTCATGTTTGCTACTGGACTGAGCTAACTACTACATAATTAGGCTTTGTAAGTTTAATTTAAACTCACTGAGCGTATCATTGCAGTTAAGCTCTCAATTTTAAAGTCACATAGCAGCATCGATTTAATAACTTTCACAGTGGATACCCTTGCATTAGCACTGGCAATGGCTTCATATTTTAGAGCCCTGTAGTTCATGAAATTTGCTACATTTTAAGGGACATTCTTACATAGCTGTGATAGCCAAAATTTCAAAATAGCAATTTCTGGCTTACTTAAAGTGTTACTAACCCAGAACCCTGCATCCACTATATCCACTCTCCCATAGTACACAGAACATGGAAGTGAAATTATTTTAGTAAATGTAAACTACTGCATACCATTTCTCATCAGAAGTTAGAGCAGTCTTGTGGCTTCTATCAGTGTCCATCCCAGCACCAGCTAAAGCTTGTAGGAGGAGATTTCTTTCTGCTCTAGGGGGATGGAAATCTCCTGACCTATGTCTGGACAGTGCTGATTGGCCCTATGCTGATCACATGCACTCTCTCAAGAAAAAAAAAAAAACCTCTCTACCAATATACACCAAACTGAGCATGTGCATGCCTACGGTTCAGTCTGGAGATAAGTGGTGGTCGCTTGGAAAAGGGGAGGAACAGAGAAGAAAGCATCAAACAGCCTTTTTACACAATGCAGAGGATTAACCCTTAGGTTCCACAGTGAGTATAGAAAGCATGCTTTACTGCATATACAGACTGATTTTACTGTTGTGTGCTTAGTAACACTTTAAAGCTGAACTCCAGGCAAACAGATAAATACACAGTTGAAATACATTGTTGTGAACTGGACTATCCACCAGAAGGATTGTTTGTGTGTCATATAAGCCACTCTTGTTGTTCAGGCGCTCCTGCTGATCTCCTTTTCTCTACTATAGCTCCAGTCCCATAAACATGTTCACAGTGTTGGGTTAGTAGTGGAATAGTGAAAAAGAACAGAGCTCTGAATACCTCACAGTACTGCCCTTCCTCTCTTGATGTGAGCTATATTATGCAAAAATGTCAGCAATTTAAAATAATGAAAAGTATTCAGTTAATATTAAAATGCGTTCAAAATATTTTAACTGCTCTCCTGCCACCCTATAGCAGAAATACTGCTACAGGGTGGCAGAGGTGCACAAAATCACATATATATACGTGATTTTGCATTTCCGTGTATTCGCGGCCTTGGCTGTCAATCACCGGGTCCCGGACGGTGATTACTCGCTGGCACACGGTGATCAAGGAGCATTACCGACGGAGGGAGAGAACTGTAAGTAAACAATACAGTTCTCTCCTCTGTCAGCTCCTGCACACTGCTATGAAGGGCTTTGCATAGCAGAGCCATGCAAAACAGTGTGCTTATAGTGAAGCACACACACACACAGTAAAACAGCACACAGTTAACCCTTTGATCACCCCAGATGTTAACCCCTTCCTGCCCAGTGTCATTAATATAGTGTTAGTGCTTTTTATTAGCGCTGATCACTGTATTGGTGTCTCTGGGGATGTCAGTGACACCAAGTCTGTTCCCTGCACTGCCAGAATGCCTCCCACAGTCTCGCAATAAGTCGCTGATCACTGCCATTACCAGTAAAAAAAAAAAAAAAGTGTGGTCGCTGGAGAACAAAGTTTGATATACCCAAACCTAGAAACTTACAATATCATGAAATTATGGCACACAAGTGAATATAACTATAAAAAATAAGTAAAAAAAAATAAGAGTTAAATATACCAAATGTGAAGTCTCTCTTAAATCAAAGTCCATATATATTCAGATAAAAAAGATCTTCCACCATCCAGCAAATCCTTGTAGTGTTACAAAAACACTGGAGTGCTACCACCTTAATCAAATACACACTCACCAAAACCATAAACTGCAACAGGTACAGCAGACACAGCATGTTTTTCAGGCACACATCCTCCCCAAGTGTGTGTACTTCCACTCCAGAATCACTTCTCTTAGACAGTAGCTAAAGGCAGTTCCCAGTGGAATAGATAACACTCACCAAGGAGCCAGCAGAAAGCCAATGATAGTGTAGTAGTTTAAATAAAGGTTTATTGTAGAATACAGCCAGTCATCCAGTAAAAAACAATGTGACAGTGAAAAAAATGCAGTAAAAACTCACAGAGAGTCCCGCTGATAACCCAAAATCGTGAAGCAGCGTGATCTCAGGATTGAAACTCCGCCCAGACTAGTTTTGTCCAAGTAACGAGAAAGTCCATGTTTCCATTTTTTGGCAATATAGTGTATATATACACTATATTGCCAAAAGTATTGGGACACCCCTCCAAATCAACTGTTCCAATCAACTTCTTAGCCACAGGTGTATAAAATCAAGCACCTAGGCATGCAGACTGCTTCTACAAACATTTGTGAAAGAATGGGTCACTCTCAGGAGCTCAGTGAATTCAAGCGTGGTACCGTAATATTTTGCCACCTATGCAATAGGGTTATCCATGCAATTTGCTTGCTACTAAATATTCCACGGTCAACTGTTAGTGGTATTATAACGAAGTGGAAGCAGCTGGGAACACCAGCAATTCAGCAACGAAATGGTAGGCCATGTAAAATTACAGAGCGAGGTCAGCACATGCTGAAGTGCACAAGTCGCCAACTGTCTGCATATTCAATAGCTAAAGACCTCCAAACTTCATGTGGCCTTCAAATTAGCACAACAACAGTGTGTAGAGAGCTTCATGGAATGGGTTTCCATGGTCGAGCTGCTGCATCCAAGCCATACATAACAAAGTGCAATGCAAAGTGTCAGATGCAGTCGTGTAAAACATGCTGCCACTGAACTCTAGAGCAGTGGAGACATGTTTTCTGGAGTGACAAATCATGCTTCTCTGTCTGGCAATCCAATGGAAGTGTCTGGGTTTCAGTGGTTGCCAGGAGAATAGTACTTGCCTGTCTGCATCAGCATACCAAAACATTTTGGACAATTTCATACTCCCAACTTTGTGGGAATAGTTTGGGGATGGCCCCTTCCAACATGACTGCACACTAGTGCAGAAGCAAGGTCCATAAAGACAGAGACCTTGGAGTAGAGGAACTTGAGTCCTGAACTCAACATAATAGAACACCTTTGGGATGAATTAGAGTGGAGACTGTGAGCCAGGCCTTCTCGTCTGACATCAGCGCCTGACCTTACAAATGTGCTTCTGTAAGAATGGTCAAACATTCCCATAGACACACTCCTAAACCTTGTGGATGGCCTTCCCAGAAGCGTTGAAGCTGTTATAGCTGCAAAGGGTGAGCCAACTCAATGGGACTGGGATGCCATTAAAGTTCATGTGCGTGTAAAGACAGGCGTCCCAATACTGTTGGCAATATAGTGTGTGTGTATACATATATATATATACAGTATATATATAGGCAGAGCATCCAAAAGGGACCCTGGGAAAGTCCTGTTCAGGGTTTATAGATCTCCCAGGTTCCTTTCCTATACCTTTAGGGATCTCTGATTTGAGGTCCAGTGCAAGGTTTACCTCTCTTTGTGGGTAATTAAATCCACCTGAGACATGTAGCCAGAGCTCTCGGCCTGGGGATCAGACAAGTCTTGTCTGGAGAGCTGAAAGGTTGATGGAAACTAACTAGCTGTGTATGTTGTGGCTGACAAGCTATAGGCTTGATCAGTCTGATAGTTAGGACCTGCAGTACTGTGTAGTGAGCACCGAGACATGGCAAGGTTTTTGTTTAATCTTTTCTTGCCCTGTTTATTTTGGTTAAGTACTGTACAGCACTTTGTATATAGTTTTGTAAATAGCACTAAAAAACACCTTCACTGTTTGCCACTAATCTCACTGGATTTGGTATCTGTGCCTGAAAGACTGCTTACCCCAGGAAGCATATATCCCGCTGCCTATCTCCAGCCCACTATATATATATATATATGCTGTTAGTTTTGTACATTTGTTTTTTAATAAAGAAGGACATGGAGCAGTTTATATGCAAAATGCAGGGAACTATAGTAACCGAACAGATTTTAACTTGAATGGAGATGGATCTGTTAAAATGCATTTATATTGGTTATTGTTAGCTATATGCTAGCAGTTTGCACGTTGCTCATTGTCTTACTGTATTCGTTCAAATGACCTACTAATACTTTTTGCTTGCATACCATATTGACTGACACCTGCTTTGCAATTGAGGCTTTCCAAAAAGACATGAGAAAGTTACCTATAATCATTGTGTGGTTTAGAATTTATTTTTAATAGACCTCTGCAGTTTGCTATAAAAAAAATCTCCCTATTTTTCCCACACAAGGTCACTTTGATAAGCTATTGTCAGCTCACATCTTTGCAATAAATAGAACATGAATGGGTTTTTCATGGTCCATAAATTAGGCAACACGAAAACCAAACATAAAGCACACTAACAAATTAGCAAAATAAAAATCAAAACAGCTACCTTGAGGGCTGAAATGTTGCTTATGATGGTATT